CCCCCAGTTTTCAAGAGTGGGGGGGTCACGACCCCCCCGACCCCCCCGTCGGCGACGCCCCTGTCCAAAGAGACCAATGTACACCAGCGTATGGTCTCCAACGCATTATCTCCAAAGAGATAAAAATGTTGGTGGTTTAATTGAAGCCCAAATAAAAAACAAAATTGTCTAATAAAGGGTGGCTCTTTGCAAAGACGTGCCAGGTGTCTCCGAGACAACCTAATGGGCTTTTCTGTTTCTGAGTGCGGGTGCTGTTGATGACGTGAGACGTGTCACTCCCGGCCTCTGACTGACGTCTGTAAGTGAGTGATGTGGCGGTGTGGTGACGTGAGTGTAACTGATGGGCGTGACGTCAAATGTGGGAGGACATTTAAAAACACTCGAGGCCTGACGCGTGCCAAATTTGGGTCGGTACTCTTTTTACCATAAAAAGAGCACAATCTGGTTATTTTTCAGAGTGCAGGGGTCAACTTACAAAATGTTAACCCATACAATCCTTACAATAGAATGAATAACGGAGCGGACAGCTGAAATAGTCTGTTCATCCATAACAAGCATGTTATATAAGCAAATGACTGGCCGTTTAGTAAAAGTAAAATACAGAAATACCGGGGCTGTGCGTCATTTCGCACATCGTTCCCCGCTCAGGCCGGTTTTACCGCGGCGCTGAAACGTCGACCACATATCCGCGTGCCTTGTTGGCTCATTCTGGCGTCTTTGTTACCCGACCGCTCCTTTGTTTTCTTCCGCGGAATCGGCCGTTTCCAGCTGTGGCTTTCACTAGCTATCATCGCAGCCAGCTATTTTGCTTTCGGTGAAGCCTCCTCGCGGTGTTCCCAATGCGAGCAATCCGTCCGTGTTCCGTGTCGCGCCCGAGCGCGGCAGAAGATTATCCGTTCCGATGACGCGCATTTTCCATTGCGGATTGAAAAAATGCGGGCAGTTGTGACGCACGGAAAGTGGGGTACATGGAGCTATTTTTCAAAATCCTTCTAGGTGTTAATGTGTGATCCCTTCTAATCCCACAGCACAACAATACTGACGCACGTGAAGTGGACAGGATAATCCTATACGGCGGAAGGCCGTGCAGTACCGCTACGACTGTGTCGGAATGGGTGCGAACGGGTGCGGCCTTCTGACGATCGCGGCAAGCGCTGCATCTGCCAGCTTGTTGGAAATGGGGTGACAATCAGTTAAGGGCTGACAAGTGTCTAAAAACCCAAAGAAAGCTGTCCGACAGTTTTTAAACTAAAATGCCCCTAAATTTCCTATCTACATACTATCTGCAAAGCGTTCTATCAGTTATAAGGGAAGTACATAATTCCTACACATATAGCTGGCAAATGTTTGACGTAACATGTGTTAGGTACTCAAGCAACGCATGAATGATTAAAACCTGTTTTTGTCCGATCCACCGGGCTTGATTAAATTCAGCGGAATCATCGAACAACAAAGCTCTGGAGATGTGCTATTAAAAGTCCGGATCAGACGCCTCCGAAAGATCTCAGATCTCCTCTCTCAACAATGTCTCCCGGTATGTACATATTTGCACAGCTCGAGTCCGTAAGTTTCTTACGCCGAAGAGCTCAGACGACAGCGTTTGAATTTCGCTAAGCAGTTTCGCTGGAATGATGACGATGGCAGCATTGATGTAATGTCAGTAGAGATGTTTGCCAATGACGTCATATTGACGGAACAGGTTCCGGGCTTAGCAAGGGGTTTGGATATTACATCCGGCTTTGAGGGAGTTGTCGTGCCACGGCAGTGCCGCGCATGACGACGCGCAACTCGATCAATACTGTCAGTGGCTCTTCAAAAGCCATCACGAAGAGTTAGCAATTCGTCATCAGAACAAGAACGTATACCTTTCCGGCGTATTAGTGAGCTTATATTTGTCATCTGTCCCGGGTAAACGGTCATTCTTTTTCCCGAACCACATAATGACCACTTGAAAGTTGAAAGCGAACATTCAAAGTGCCCACTCATCGGAATGCTTCATCTCCGGTCTTACCCACACCGCGACCAACGCGGCCATTGAACGGATAATCCGCCTTGTCGCCATTGTCACACAGGTACGCGTGACGACAACGTCCGCCAACTGACGCCATTAGCCATTTCCGTTCCGCCCCTGCCCTGACATCTTATCCACTCTCTGACGGTACAAGCACCTACCACTTCCTCCGGAAACCTCGAGCCGGCGCCGCTGCCGGAACCCGTTACCTTCGTGTGAATAACCGACCGCGCCGGTGACTCGGCGCCGCCGGGCCCTTCTCCCAGCTGTGTCCGCGCGCGGGACAGAACGGTCTGCAATTGGCCTTGGTGACTCGCCCAAGTCCAGTTGTGGGACGGGCAATTGATTCACCTGCACAAGATGCAGACAGGAGAGCAATGAGGGCTGCCATGAGTGCTGGAACTGCAAATCGGGGCATCGCATTGCATTGGACGGCTCAGAACTGAACGCCATTGACGAGCGCAGTTGCGTAAGATTGGCCTCTTATGATGGGTTGTCTTGGTCACTGGCAGGTGTTCAAACCACATCCAATTGAAGAGAGGCTTGAATGAGGGTCGAGGTGAGATGAACGAACATGCTGATGACTAATACGACGTTTACATGAAGTCTAACACATATTTGTCTGAGTTGTCCAGCGGGTTTCCCTTCTCCCCATGTCTTTGACATCCACCAGCCATGGAGCCGTTTGACCTACTTTGAGCGGTTGCTCACCACCGACATGCGGATACGAATGTAGGCCACATTGACAACAGTGGACTGTCCGAACAAAGCTCACTTCCTCCGCGGAGTCTCGTTCCAGGAGGGTGCAATGTCGCGGAACCCCGAACTCCACCGGATGCAGTACAATCGCAACTGTCCTTTCCAGTCTAACAGTTTCATATAACTGTCAACTGTTCTCGCGAAGTTGATGAACAGTTACTATGTCCCGCATTTGAAGGTCAATGTTGCACGTCAGGCAGTAAATGCGCGGGACTGGTCGGGTATTTGCTCGGCCGCTGTCTTTCCTGTTATTTCGTAACTGCGGGGCTGTCTTCGCCGGTGTCTCGGCCGCGTGGGAACGGCTGCAGTCGGTGACCACTGCGGTGGTCGGCTGATGGCTCTGTGAGCGGTCCGTGGGTGGCTACTGACACGGACATAGACCCGTCAGCCGAGATTTAGTCTGCTGCGACCAATCTGCAGAGACGGGACCAGACAATCTTAAGAGACCAGACAGTCTGGCGGGACCAGTCCAATCCACCGGGAATACAGTCTGCGGGGACCAATCTGCAGAGACGGGACCAAGCTACCATGACGAGACCAGCCCACCGGGACAAGACCAGTCTGCCGGGACCAGTCTCCCAAGATCAGTCTGGCGGGACCCGTCTGTCATGACGAGGCCAGTCCGCCGGTTGGCCTGCCGGACAAGGAGCTGCTCTGACCGCACGGAAATGCTCCACATTAGACACGGGGCCGGGATCCGCGTCACCGGCCGGACGACATGATGCTCCTCGCTTCTCAAGCGGTTTCCCCATGGAACACCTACCACTCATTCAACTTTCATCGAGGGGAAAGGGGCGCGGTCTATTGTAAGCGCCTGATTGCTCGGTTTTCCCGTCACACTTACCTATAAAAAGGCCCTGTCACAGGTCCATCTGTCGAGTTGATTGCTTGTTCGAATGACGCAAATTGCAGTAATGACCGCTCCTCCCGTCGGACTAAATCGGATGTTTCGGCAAGGCTTTCCTCTTTGTTGCTATTTATCCCTTTTGCGTAATTTATTTTTATTAATAAAGGCGACTTGGCCTTGTGGAATTTAATACATTCCTATTTTAAATCGTCAACTGTGAAATTTTGATATTCTCTAACACCTAGTAGTTTACGACCTTGCCTTCACACGCTCTTATCCCGCCGGTAAATGCGCAAAGGTCACACGGTAAACATTTCACCTCGGTGCACTGCCGTGAGACTCAGGGTGTTGTCGTGAGGCGACACGGTGAGAAATGGACTGTCTCCCTTGAACTCTGCACTTCTCGGCTAGCGATTAGATCACATTTTTTCGCTAACTTTTGCAAATAAACGGCAGCTGAGTAGCCATGGACATGACCAAGCGATTTGTGTACGGTTAAATGATAGGCGTTTGTGTTAACGGTTGTAGGAATTTCTGTTTTATTACGCGATTATGAAACGACAATTGTTAAATGCCCAAGAAGCCTTGTCCATTGACGTTATTAGTTACTTATTAAATCAACTTTGCAACTTCCCTAGAATGCGAAAAGTGTCCATGGAAAATATAAATCGACAGGCCCAAGACACTTCAGCCCTCCATTTCCGTTTGACATTGCACGTCGGATGTTCGCCCTCGGGAGTGCACTATCAAGTGTCAACCAACGATGTCGATGGGGCAAGCCAGCGACTTTCCGAAGCCGCAGCGCTGATGCAATGCACATATTCTATCGAGCCGCCAACGCCCTTCCATTCACAGAAAACGTACCAACTACCAATGTCGCAAGCCGCTGCCATTAACACGGAAGGAACTCCCACGGAAGAAACCCCACATAAGAAACCCTTATTGGCGAGGCATGCCTCTGAGATGCCAGCTGGGATACGAACAAGCTGGACATTAGACATTCAATAGTGCCAAAACCGAACCCACTCACAACCATGGCAGCAGATGGATGGCAGGACATGCTAAATCAATTGACCACGTGAATAGTCGGAGTCGGTCTGGCGCTTATGCTGCCTCTCCAACGGGTGTGGTGACACGGTCCATTATTACACCGTTTACACAGTCAGGTTGTGTTCAGGTGACGGCGTTAGCACCGTTCACCGTTCCCGTTCCGTTCAATATTGCACCGTTCACGCAGCCAAGCCGTGTTCAGGTGATAACGGTGGCCCTATCCAGCTCCGGGAGCATCGAGGTTCACGGGAACACTGATCACGCGAGTGGCACGCATCCTGGTCAAACAGAAGCACCGCGCTGCGCGTGTTGCAAGTCTGCACCTATTTCCAGCTGTAATAGCCCTCGTTGATTGCCTCTCACGGGTGTAATTGTCATTCCCACGTACATCTGGCGCCATCTCTGTGGCCGAGTTCATCTCTGCGCGCCGTTAGAGTCGCACCAAGCCCTACTGCGATATCGAGTACCAGGTAACCGGCGTCCCTGCAACTGGCCCGCTATCTGGGCGCCGTCCTCCGTTAGTCGCGACTCGCGCCCCTCGCCAGGTATCTGACGAGCACCGCTCTCGGCACCGCTCTCACAGCGGCGCCCACCGCTGCAACAGATCGGACCGCCGAGATGGCCCAAAACAGGCCCGTCAGTGCCGCGCCGGTCCAGTTCTGCACGGCCCGCGCTGCGGCTGCGGCTGCGGCTCTGAGGCCGGCGCCGTCCTCGGAAGCGGCTGGCGGGGCGGCGCGTGTGACATCAGAGATAGCCGACCGGTCGGCCCCTCCTCCGCCCCCCAACCCCCGGCCGGCTGGCCGGTCGGCGACAGGGTACTTACGGGTCGGCGAGCCCGCCGCTCGAGCCGCCGCCGGCCGCAGTCTGAGTCGAGAGCGCGGACGGTGCGGGCGTGCGCGATCTTGGGGAAGGAGTCGAGACCAAGAGCTCCAAGACGGCGGCGGTACAGTGCCCAGCGGGAGTGATGGGGAAGGCGGCTGTGTCCCACATCCACTTCGCCTCTGGATACCACGTGCCAGCCTGGCTGATGAGCGCACCGTGAGTAACTGGGACCTCGGCGGGTCGGGAGTCGGTGGGGTGTGGGCGGTCGGCCCGAGCTGACTCAGTCTGGCGGAGACGGCTCGGCGCCAGTCCGGTCGTCGGGAGCCCGGCCGTCTCCGTGGACTGGGTCGGGTCTCTGTGGATGCGGAGCCGGCCTTGGCTCCGTGTCGGCCGTAGGTGACTGATGGTCTCGGAGTGCAGCGTGGGCCGCGGTGGGTGGAACGTGATGGACGGGACTCCGCTCCGACACCGGTGTTGGATCTGATGGCCGCTCGAAGTAATATCAGTACGGCCCACGACTGTCGATGTGCACTTACGGCCGCATGCATACTCCCCGGCAGGAAATGATTGCCGACTGGCTATTTTGGGTGGTAAATGCAAGGCTGAGTCGCTCGTGCATGCTGTGAATGATTGTGCTGTTGCCTTGGGAATTACGCTGTGATGTGAAATGTTTTCCTGGTGGTATCAGTATGGGAAACGATGCTATGAAGGTGCTGTTACGCGCCGTAGCGTATATGCAAATGTGCTGTGAATCCCTCGTCCGGACTTCTTATCACGCACATGATTTTATTACAATTTATATTTTGCGTCTAAGTGCAGGTGACACATTTAGCTTATTTAACTTTAGTCCATTGCGCATCGAAGCTTTCCATGTACCTAAACTTATGTTATGCCGGTCATTGCTTATTTAGTTTACCTTAATGCCTTTTATTTGATACTGTTCATGTGCCTTTTAACGTCTTTTCGTTTGGCATGTACTCGCTGCGCCCACTCTTTCGAAACAGAAAAATTTAAAACGTAAACATTACTAAACAGTCTCAAACGTTTCTGTATGAACTGTGCGAAAGAACTCTCCTCACTCCGAGCTTCAGTATCCGGTTATTGCTTCACTTCCGTTCCGGCTACACACTTTCTCTCAATACGATCACGAAAGCTCAGATTCCTTAGTAAGTGCTGATAAGTTACATACCTTATCTGATTTGTAACGCCTGATTACCAGCGAGACCTAGTCATATACGGACTTCTCCCCTCCCGCCCCTCCCTACCCGTGGGCGCACGAGTGACCTCACTTGGGTAATCGGGGACACTTGATCGCGAACTGATGACGTTGAAGTGCTCTCCACTTCAATATGGAGCTATCTGTTCGGAAATCCTCAAACATTACGGCAAAACCACAGGCAAACCATCCATGTCAAGTGCTTTCAAGCACATCGAAACGTCATACCTATGTGGAGACACTTCATGAGGAAACGGTGCGTGGATATTCCCCAGTGTACGGGTGAGGGGTGACATTAATTAACATGTAGAGAAAGTACTACTGACGTCATTAACTAGAGCATGGCGCATGTTTCCCCAATTTAATAATGACAGGGCATCGCTTTGTTCACTGTCAATATCATACTAACGGCGATCTCATTAGCTGTAGCGGCGATGTTTGCTGATTATACGACGCTCCGATGACCAATAATGCCAATCGGAAACAAGCCGGCTGGGATCTTCTCGGACTTTCCGCCCCGTCGCGTCTGCCCTGTGGGACGGCCAGCGGGTGCGTCAACAGTCTGCGGCGCCGGCCGGATTCTGTTCCTCGTACTGGTGCAGCTCGTGCGTCAGTGGCGGTTTCCTCTGGTGTCGCCGGTCCGGATGGGGTCAGCCGCCGCGGAGGATATGAGAAGACGGTGCGGAGGATGTGGGAAGTCGCCGCCGAGGCGCACGTCCTCTCCGGCTGTTGCACGCTAGCAGACCGTGCTTCCTGCCCGAGCATCCGGCGATCCCGGACCTGGGAGCGCGTGGCGCGAGGCGGCGTCCGGTGCCCCGACCTTGACCTGACCTGGCCCCCTCAGGTCGGGCGGCGAGAATGTCCAACACTGACCTCGGACGTCGGGGAGCGCCACTACCGCCCATTCAGTCCCACGCAGGGATTTCCTAGCGACATCCGGTCATTGCGATTTGCAATCAGTCAGCGGGGGCGGAGATCCCACATGTGGGTGACCGCGTGCATTACGCACTGAGCCCCGAGGGCGAACGGCGCAGTTCGCCACGCGCGCGTCATACGCCTAAGCACCTCTGGGTGATTAACCCGCGCCCTGCTGGGGGGGGGGGGTGTTTGAACACCCCCCCTTGTGGTTTTTCGCGAATATCTCAAAAACGGCGGCGCTCCGCGCCGCCGTTTTTGGTACACCTTATCACTCATCAATTCTACACATGTTGTCAAAATTTCAGACCAAGGTCATTCAAGGTCAGGTCACCAGGTCACTTGAAGTGACCTCACCTCATAAAAAGTTTCAATGTCTGTCATAGCTACACCGAGTGACCGATCGCTTTGAAACTTTCAGCGATTGCTAAGAGCAATAGCATGTACAAAATGTATATCTCAGAATTTTGATATCGATGACCTAAGGTCAGGTCAATTTTGCGACCTCCCCATTATAAGTCAATGGGAGAAAAATGAAATGCGTCTCTTTTGGACCAAAGACATTATAAAGACTCCCAAACACCGAATTACAAGTGGTTTAGACACACTGAACATGAAAATGGTGTCCGTGACCCTTGTTTATGCCCTGAGGTCATCTTAGGTCACGAATGGTATCTAACAGTTTTTCGCAAATAACTTTTGATAGAGGCATGCTAGAGCGATGAAAATGCCTTATATGTGTTCAGCTCGACGATACGGATCGACTGATATGCAACATGACCCTTCCCGGTCAGGTCATGACCTTGACCTGAGGTCAAATTTTCAAGTTGACCTTTCAAGGTCAAGTTATAGTTCATTCGATGCGTCTTGACGAGAGGAACACGATGCCGGTGAAAGTAAGCTCGTACAAGGCTTGGGTCAAAAGTTATTGCAGAAAAACTGTTTTCGAAAAAATCGGCTATTTTTGCAGTTTTTGCCCCCTGCAGGCAAAACCGTTGACGTTAGGTCAAATCTGAGAGAATTGCTCAGAAAGGGCGTTAATAGGGCTATCGAATGCACTTTTCCGCGGCGCTGTAGCTCTATTGGTTCCCGAGTTATGCGTTGGCTTCTTGGAAATTTTCGACATTCGACCTGGAAATCGGCGAAATTTTGCCTTCAATGACCTCTGGTGACCTGACCTTTGACCTGACCAAAAAATTGACCGAAGTGATTTCGTCATTATTTTTTACGCTCTTTCGAACGCCGCCTTCCGCGTATCGCTACGTGGCCCAGGAGCCGAGTTAGAAGGGGGGGGGTGTTCAAACACCCCCCCCCCCCAGCAGGGCGTGGAAATCCAGGACCCCCAGCAGGGCGCGGGTTAACATACAGACATCCGGTCCGGTAGAACTCGGGACTAATTCGCGCGCGCGTCTTACGCAGCAATTTTTAGGTGTCTGACACAGTTTAATCACACTTTCCTGGTAAATTTGGCTGGGTATGTGTCACCCAGAAGCGTGACTGTTTCATGTAACAGTCATCTTCCCGTCAACTGTCCCACACCTGGCACGCCAGTGCGATGCAGTATCTCTTTGCAAGGCTGAAACCTTTCCGCGGTGGGTTTCCCTTTCAATAAGCCCCCGGTGTTCCTCGTTTTCTGTATGCGTCACCTGCCCTTTGGCAGCCGGTACTAGCTGGTGCCTACGGCGGTGACATTAAATGACATTCGTGACACTCTGTGCCACTGTGTCGGAAAGAGGGGGCGGGCGAAGGGGAGGGGGCGACACGCACTCCCCCTCTGCTATATCCGGGAGGGAGAGGGAGGGAGACGGTCGCCGGCTGTCGTAGCGGACCAGACGCGCGGCCGCCGACCAATAACACCTGACGTAATCAGGCGGCCGTGGTAGACGGCAGCCCGCAGGGCGCCCGTGCAGTGCCGCCGGCCGGCCCCGGAGCAGCCGGTACGGGGAGTGTCGCCGACAAACTGTCGTTCGGAGTTCTTTTCTGGTTGGATGTGGACTGTATTTTATTCGGTGAGTTTGTGCGACATTCGTAGCCCGCCCGCCTGCTATGTGAGCTCCTGGGTTTTTGATATTCGGCGATTTTCAGTAGTAGATAGACGTGAAGATTTCCCGTAGAGGATTTATTGAAGTATACGCGAAGCAAGAAGCGGAAGCAGTTGTGAAGAAAACCGGTAGATGAAACACGCAGACACGGAGCACAATTCACTTTCGCTGTACAATCTGAAGCACTGACACTGCCCCGCCGGGCGTGGCTGCGCGCAGGAGAGTCGGTCTGCGCGCGTGCTTCTGTACTCTGTCCCCGCTCAGCCGGGCGAGGCGTCGAGCGGGGCAGATCAGTCCGTGCGCACAGCGCGACGGTCGAAGTGAGACTCTGCCGGGGTCGTACGTGACCCACATTTTATACGCAATGCTTAAGACGTGTGCAAAACGAGTGCGAACTTGCACTGCAGCGGGGAGGTGGCTGAAGGCGCCAGCTTGGCGGCCTACGTGCCTTAAAACGACGTGTCTTTAATTTATATCTCGGTCTCGGTGGCGGCCGCGGCGCTGCTGCGGCTCGGCAGCGTCGGCGGCACGCGTACCGACCGCCGGCCGCGTCTGCTCGCGGCCCCGCCCTGCACAATGCCTCACAACTCATCCTGAGTCTGGACGGGGTGACGGCGGTGCGGCGGCGGGACGGCTGCAGCGAGCGGCGGCGGCGCCGCGGTGGCACGGCGGCCGGCCGGCTATCACGGCGGCACAGCGGTAGCGCGGGTTGGTCCGAGCACTTTCGTCGGTGACATCACTCCACCCCCGTGTTTGACCACAGGGAGAACACAAAATGACACGATCACCGACAAAGATGTACAAACAAGTACGATTTACACGCCTAAATCGAATAAACTACAAAGCACAAACGGCCACATGCGCGAGTTATGAAGTTCAGGTTCAGGCAATGCAAAATACAGATGAAGAGTGAGTGCGTCGGTAGGCACGTACGCGCACAACAGTCTTTCTTACTTCAGCTCGTTCGGGGGCGTGGGCTCGACAGTCCACAGCCAGCCAGCATCATTTCTTGTTTGCGTTCGGTCGGCTAATGAGATGGCTGA